AAATGAGTGCAGAGACCCCTAGGCAGGTAATTCTTTAGAAGGGCACTGATAGAAATGAGTGGTCTTCCTAAGTGCAATAGCGCAGACTTTTTTGAGAGAATAGTGAGAGGATGAAGGTGCTCGTGAATTTCTCACTTTACAAATGAGAAAACTCAGGCCCAAGATGTAATCCCTATAGTGATGTGAAATGATTTGCCCGGTGTCACTTAGGTGGTAAATGTTGGAGATACCGAGGGAGGATTTGAGCCTAGGACTTTAGAACCAGTGCTCTTCCCGCTAAATCAAGCTGCTCCCTTCACATGGTGTTGGTTGTTTAACTGTTTTTCAGTCACATCCAATTCTTCCTGACCCCTTTTGGGGTTTTCTTGGCAGATAGAGTGGTTTGCTATTTCCTTTTCCAGCTCATTTTACAGGTGAGAAAACTGAGGCAAACAAAGTTAAGTGACTTGCCCATGGTCCCATAGCTACTAAGTATCTGAAGTCTGATTTGAACTCTGATCTCCCTGACTCCAAGCCCCCAGCGCTCTATCCACTATCCACTGCACCACTTAGCTCTTTTCTCAGTGTCTTAGTCAAGGCTGCTGTCAGAAATGAAAATGTGTTGCCTAACCACTGCTATCCTACAAATATATCCCCAACCACATATAACCATCCCTTGTTTCTCAGAACGTTTTCCCTTTACTTGACAAAGAGGCAAGAAAAAAAATTTCTCTCGTAAATAAAAGGCTGGATTGGAACACGTGAACTGAAAGGAGTGGTAAGAAATAGCAAAAACTCATCTATCCCGAGTTTACAGCTTAGCTCCAGAGAGGCAGCTTGGTGGGTAATTAGAGTGAACTGCTTTTGTTTGATCTGTATAATAATTTATGCGTTTGCCAGTAATTTGCCTGATGAATTCACAACCAGGTAGGGAGAGGTTTTCACATAGGCTCGGCTTGTAAGATTAGACTATTTTCCCCCTCTTGAATTCCCTGCTGCAAAATGAGCTGATTCTTATTTTCTAACGTGCAGAAAGGGAGTATTCCTGGCCCTCTAGCTTGTCCCCATCTCATCTCTTTTCTCCAAAGCTGCCCGCTAGATCCTACTATAGAAATGCCAGTTTGTGTGCCTTTTCTTTCATTCCCTTGCAATGGTAGAGATCATTTGCCTGACCTGAGCTCTGATTCAAAGGCTAAATAACAATGTCTGAAAGCAACTTTCAGCCAAAGGACCCTGCAGATTTAGTAACCTTTGGTCCCATGCCATATGACAATATTGATTTCTCCTGTCCAACTCCCTCAAAGAGCTAAAAAGAAACAAGGTAAAGTGAAAGCCCAGCCAAGACTGGAGCTCTACATGCAGCCTTCTCAACCAGCACTCTGACACTCTGCCGTCTTGGAGGATTCTATCTTATCTTATGCAACTCATGGAATCATGACACGTGAAAGTTGGAAGGGACCTCAATGGCTCTCTAGTCTGATCTATATGCAGAAGATGTCCCCACCATAAAATTTTCTGCTTAATGATCGTCAAGGATGGGACACCCAGCACCTTCTTAGGAAGCTCATCCTACTCTTGGGTAGCTCTAAGTTTTAAGAAGTTTTTAGTTTTGATTTTTCCTGATCTCCAGTCTAAATCGACCTCTTTCCACCTTTCCTGGTTCTATCCCCTGGGGCCAAACAGAACACCTCTGATCCTTAGTCCACTTGATAGCCATTCATATACTTGAAGACAGCTGTCACATCCTCTTCAAGTCTTCTCCAGGCTAAACATTTCCATTTCCTTTACGGATTCAAGGTTCTTCAGCTTCCTGTTGCTGTCCTCCAACACTCTCCACCTTACCAATGTCTTTAAGTCATGACACACTTGGAGATTATAGCCTTCCCTTAGCTTTATATATGGTCAATCAGAATGTTTATTGTTAATGTTACCTAACAAATGGGGGCATTACCTGAGTTTGCATAGTAGGTCCCTCAGAGAAGAGATCCTCAGGTTCAAGGAAGGCTCATGAGCCTCCAAAATGTATTTACTTTTGTTGTTATTTTCATGTTGAGGCAACCTAGTGGCATGGTAGATATAGCTGGGAGTCATGAAGACCTGAATTCAAATTTGACCTTAAACACATGCTAGTTGTGTGACCCTGAGCCAGTCACTTAACTTCTGTTTGCCTCAGTTTCCTCATCTGTAAAATGGAGATAATAATACCTATCTCCTAGGGTTGTTGTGAGGATCAAATGAGTTAATAATTGTAAAGCACTTCGCATAGTGCCTGGCACCCAGTAAGTGCTATATAAATATTATTATTATACTATGTTATTATAATAATATATAATTTCTAAATATATCATTTTGAAAGGATACTTTAGAAAAAGGACACAATTCAAAGCAAAGTTATGTGATGAAACAGCATGAGGAAAAATAGCAATAAAAATCTCCCCCCCCAGAAACCTGGGCCATACTCTTCTATCAATATCCTATTAATATATCATGTGTAACAGTAAGGACATACGGGAAACATGCATGAAAAGTCACACAAACAGGAAATGTGTGGCTGGACTATAATGTAGAAGGAAAACACAACTCCAATTTTTCAGGGCCAGCCACAAATGTCTCCTAGTGAAGTCTTTGCATTGATTCCCCCTAGACCTGGGCCCTAATGCTGCTCTCTTGTGGGACGTCGTCTCTGCTGGATTGTGATCTGCTTGGCCTGTGACTGCTGTTGTTTGTTGCCCAATGTGACTCCATTGGCCACAAAGTTTCAAATGGTCTTCCTATTATTCTAAGCTCTGATCCAGCTGGAGTCCTCAGCTGAGGAGCTACCATCTTTCTCAATAGAGGAACAGTGAACCCTTAGACCATGGCACTTTCAGCACAGTGCCTAGAGAAGGACTTCTTAACCTTTTTTCTGTCCTAGCCCCTTTGGCAATCTGGTGAAGCCCATGGACCCCTGTTCATAATAATGTTTTTAAAAATATAAAATGAATAGGATTACAAAGGAAACCAATGATATTGAAATACAGTTTTTAATATATTAAAAAAGTCCATAGACTTCAAGTTAAGAACCCTTGACCTATTATAGGGTTTTGTTTAAGATCTTAGAAAAGTAAAACCCTCATACATCTAGTCATCATATTAAAGGGAAAAAAAAAATCTCATTTGATACTTAACAACCTGAGGCAGGTGCTATTATTAGGCCAGTTTTACAGATGATGAAATTAAAGGTGTAAAGTTAAATGGTGTTGCCAGAGTCACACAATCTGAGGCAGGATTCAAACACAGGTCTTCCTGAGTCCAAGCCCAATACTCTATCCATTACACACACACACACACACACACACACACACACACACACACACACACACA